CCACTGACTACATTCAACATTACCCCTTCAGTTTCCAACTTCAAACTGATCACCCTGTCTGACACTCTTTTCACCTCTAAAACATTCCTCACCAGCTCCTCCTTCAGGATCACTCCTACCAAAAAGTATAAATGTTATAAAAAAGTTTAGTACAAGCAGGGATGTCCTTGAAGAGTTGAACAAATCAAGATCGCAATGGCCTGTATAGCTGAAAGTATGCTGGACTTATAAAGTGCCAAAAAAGGGTGGAAGATCCCAGAATAATAAATAAAAAACCGGAAAGCAGAGTGTGGATGCTTTATAGCATCCACACAGTAAAGAATAAGATAACATAGTGCGGATGCTTCACCATCCACACAACTAGAGAAATGCATTTTTTGTCGAAAATGCGTGTGGATGCTATGTGCTGAAGGATCGCCAGGCTTGGGACCGGCACAGAAGTCACTGGGTTGCAACCCCTGTGGCTAGATTATACATCTGCAAGTTAATTAAAAAAAAAAAAAAATCAATACTATCTCATTCAGCACGGTGGCGCAGTGGGTAGCGCTGTTGCCTCACAGCGAGTGGGTTCCGAGTTTGCGACCTTTCTGTGCAGAGGTTGCACGTTCTCTCCGTGCTTGCATGGGTTCTCTCCGGGTACTCCGGCTTCCTCCCACTGTCCAAAGACATGCGGCTTAGGTTGATTGGCGACTCTAAATTGCCCATAGAAGTGAACTTGTGTGTGTCTGTGGTTGTTCGTCAGCATGTTGGCCCTGCAATGGACCGGCAACCTGTCCAGGGTGTACTCCGCCTTTTGCCCGATGCTGCACATTCTCTATTCTTTTAAGAGAATCTCTGCATCATTTTTTGTTTTGTTGCCAACATATGAGCCCTATTACTTTCCCAGTGTTTGTGTTTGTTTGTTGTATTTGAAGCAAAAGCTATGAAATCTCTCTCCGCTGTTTATGCTGAGTCATACGATGCCGTGATATTTACCATGCTAACAAGCAGTGATTCCAAATGCCAAATGTCTGTGACTGCATAAATGAAGGATGTACTAAGTGTCTGTTTTTCAGCTCACAGTGTGGGAGGTCTGCGTCCAGAGGGCTACTGTGACATAAGCTTAAGAGCATGCTGGGTACCTCAGTGCTTGACACTAAAAAAAGCCACATCCATTTTCCCTCTCCCCCATGTCCATCCTATTTTTTATGAGAGGCTTCTAAAATAAAATCAGCTGTTGTTGAATGCTTGGGCCTCACTGAGCTGTGGAGTGTACTGCTGGAGCTGGTCTCCAAGCCTCACTGTCTGTCTCTGCCCAGGACTGGCTTTCTGTGTTGGGTTAAGGCTGTGTGACTGAGCCCATTTCTTTTTCTGGAGTTCCAAGGCCCTTTTCTAATCTATTGGATTCTATTGTTTGGGCGACCTACACTATTAAAAAAGGTAAGAGATAGATGTGTATTATCAGCATTACAAGGCTGGTTCTTGTATCAACATAAGCTCCACTGTCAGCACAGCTCTTTTAAAGTGATTTTCCATTGAAGCACAAATGGAAGGAGACATATTGGAAATGGTAGATGGCATTTTAACTGATAATGAATTGGTTTGATGTGCCCAGTCTGTGCAGACATGAGATGTCTTTGGTGTGAAATTAGAAATAAGATGAAGTGGAGGGGCTGTATTGCGTTGTAACATCAGGGAGAGTGAATTGCAGGATATATCTGTGATTCCCCTAGGATTTGTACATTGTCATTAAACATGCATAGGCCCTTCCTGTTTCCTTTCCACAGATATAACCAACAGCAATCTGATGTGGAATATTCTGAAAGCACAGCAAATCAGAAACAAAGTGCTTAGCTTAGCATAAGGATGTGCTCTAGGGCAATTCAGACTCCATTTAAAGAAGTTATTTTGATAGATTTGACAGCTCAATTATTGTGCCTGATTTGCTTTTGTCGGTAGGGAAGAAATGGCCCTCCATGGCTGACATTTCAATTAGTGTAGCTCGTTTTGGCTCTGCTGTCAAACCTCAGCAGCCAAACGCTTCGGTCAAAAAGTAGTGAACAGAGACTGGGCTGCTCAAGGTTTTGGTTGTGAGGAGGGAGCAGAGAAGGGGGTGACACCTCTGTGATTAGACGACGGCCTCTGCCTGATACAGCTCTATGAGCCATGATTTAGCTTTGAGCTACGACGGCCATGCTGCCTTTTTTCACACTCCTTAACCTCTGAAATTACTCTGTTCTTTTTCTCTCTTTTT